AATCCTTGGTTCCCCCCCCCCGCCCTCAGCCCAGTAGCCGGTGACTCCTCGCCACCTGCTGCTGCTCCTGGGTGCCTGCCTCCCTCATTCCTGGTGCTGGTGCCCACTTTCCCCGGCACATCTTCGCTGCTCTGCAGAGCGGGGGTCGTCCTGCAGCTCCTCAAAGCGGCTCCTCAGCTCAAGGGCACTTCGCTGCTTGCCAGCTCGCCCATGCCCTGGAGAGCCCCGCAGCCGGTCCAAGGAGGCAATGACCCACTGAGGGAGAGAAGACGAAGAGCCAGCCAGCCCACGAGGCTGCCCACCCTGGGGGAAGAGCGCCTAGAAGTGGATGCAGCTGTCGGGAAGGCTCCGGGAGGACGAGGCTGACGGCTGGTGCCTGGGAGCCGAGGGAGTGGAATCCTCGCCCCCTAGATTTCTCTGCAGCACCGCAGGCTACATAACGGGTCGCCCATTTCAGCACCAGTTCTCTTGTTAGTAGGGCCACTTGAGTTACAGGGGACTGATCTGCCCTCGCATGGGGGTGGGGAGGGAAACTGCGGCCATGGGGCATTACCTGGAGCCTGGGTGTGTGTGCAAGGCTGCCTTAGGAGTTCCACCAGTTGAATCAAAATTAATTTAATTAACTTTGATTTAATTGGCTGGTGCCCCCTCCTCAAAAACTCCTTAGCTACAGGGCTGCATGGCAGAGTGGAGATTCAAACCTGGATCTCCCAGGCCTTAGTCCAACAGCCTGCCGCACCACAATTAGGGTTGCCAACTCTGGGTTCAGAAGTGCCTGCACATTCTGGGGGTGGAGCCTGGAGAGGGTGGAGTTTGGGGAGGGGAGGGACCTCAACAGGGTATAGTTCCAAGAATCCACCCTCTAAAACAGCCATTTTCTCCAGGGGAACTGATCTTGGTCATCTGGAGATCACCTGTAATGTTTGAGATCACCAGTTTGGTGTAGTGGTTAAGTGCGCGGACTCTAATCTGGGAGAACCAGGTTTGATTCCCCACTCCTCCACTTGCACCTGGCTGGATGACCTTGGGCAAGCTGTAGTTCTGATAAGAGCTGTTCTTGAAAAAAGAGCAGTTTCTGTCAGAGCTCTCTCAGCCCCACCTACCGCACAGGGTGTCTGTTGTGGGGAGGGGAAGGGAAAGGAGATTGTAAGCCGCTCTCAGACACCTTTGGGTAGTGAAGGGCGGGGTATAAATCCCATCTCCTCTCCTCCTCCTCCTGTAATAGTGGGAGATCTCCAGGTTCAAGCTGGAGGGTGGCAGCCCAAACCACACTGGCTGTCCAGTGTGGCACAAGTAACTGGCCTGGGCAGGAACTTGGAGCAACTGCCCTTCCTGTCAGCGCCGCAGATGCAAACGGCCTCTTTGACCTGCATGTAAAACTCCAGAGGTTTGCCTAGCAAATGAACTGGTTTGTCTGTTCAACCCATGCAAATGCAAAATGAACGTGAAGGTGAGCAATTATCGGAGAAACTTGTCATTTGCATCCGCAAATTTATTCTGGACTTCGGAGAAAGAGGGTGTTCGGTCAGTGCCGTGAGACATTTCTCATGCTGATTAGGCACCAATGACACCTGATTTTAATTTCCCTAGCCCCTATTTACAGGTGTTTACAAGGAAGAGGGAAAGGAGGTGCTGATCACTGGTGTTTGTCTTAGCTGAACTGCCGTTAGCCTGGAAATGCAAAAGGGAGCCGATTTGTGGTTTCTTTGTTGTTCGGTGGATTATTTAAACAAGCTCCCGGGTCAGGGAGGCCGAGAAGGGTCACAGTTGCCCTTTGCTAAATAAACAAAATCCAAAATGCTCGAGAGTCTCCTGATCAGGTGCCGCTGGAATTTGAATGTGGTATTCAAGCCCTGTAACAGAGCAGCCAGCGGAACAGGCAATCCACAGTCCAGTTGAATAGATACTGAAAGACAGCGCAGCTTGCTTTCATCTAGGGATGCCAGCCCCCAGGTGGGACCTGGGGATCATCTCCAGAGACTACAGAGATCCTGGAGAAAATGGATGCTTTGGAGGGAGGACTCTATGATGCTGGCCCCTCACTGAGGTCAGTGTCCTTCCCCAGGCTCCATCCCCAAATTCACAGGCATTTCCCAACCTGGGTCTGGCAGTGCTATGTTGCATCATGTGCTCTAGTGAGAGCAGAGCTCTCTTGGCTCAGTGTAGCATCAGATCTGTGGCTCCAGTGAGGCCTTGTGCAGCTCCCAGAGCACCCTGGGAAGTTCCTGTATCCAGCCTAGTGCATGCACATACACACACACAGCAGAAGGGGCGGCACGACTTCCAACTGCAGAGGAGGGGCAGATTTTTATTTTCTTTTATTCAATTCGTATCCCACCCTCCCCGCAAGCCGCTCAGGGCGGGTTTCATCATAAAATACGCAATAAAAATAGTGTTCCCCCCCGTGTGTTAACTTCCTATTCATTAAAAATCAGCTGCTAAGGGAGGAAAAGTTCTAGCATAGCCTTTTGCAAGCTTCATGTCCATTTACATAGAGCTGGGGGGGAGGGAGAGAATAATCCACCCCTTACAGTCCAGAGGGGTCCAGTCCATTCTCCTGGCTCCGCCCTCTGTGCCAAACAGACTTTACATGTCAGCCAGGGAGATGGGTACAAATGTGACCGATCCTCATGGGAGTCTGAGCTATATCCTTCGACTACACTAAAAGGCAGCTCAGGAAATTCCAAAACAGTGCAAAAAGATCAGTGCAACATAAAACAGCTAGAAACAATATAAAATGGCAACACCAAAGCATTTTTTTAAAATCATCCAGTCTTTTACTGGAGGCGCCACATAGCAAAGTCACCCAAGCTTTTCTCAGGAAATAAGGTCTTTATCAGCCTCCTGTGTTAGGGAAGAGGGTGAGAGGCCCACGAGGATTCTCTCAGCAAGGGGTTCCAAAGGGTGGGGCCCTGTGTGACTTCCTTTCCTAGGCGCTGCGGCGTCTGGAATCACAGTGGCCACTGGCGACGTGGCATAGTTGGCCGATTCAGTAGCGGCACGATAAAAATGCAGGGGGCTGACCCGGTGGCAGCAGCGGGGGCTGTTGCTCCTGCTCCAGCTGCTGCCTGGCTCAACTCCAGCGCCGCCCGCCCAGGAGAGCAGGCAAGGCGAGGGAGTGGAGGGCCGGCAGGCAGGCCAGTGCGGCGCCCCTCTTCAAGGGGCGCTCTAGGCAAGTGCCTAACCTTGCCTCTATGGATGTACTGGCCCTGGCACAGTGTTACCTTCAGCTGCTAGTGCAAGTGCTGGCTAAGTGGCCACTACGCCGCATGCCCAGCCCACTTCCAAGAGAGCTGCGAGAGAGCTGCCGGTATGTATGTACCTTCAGTATCGGGTTGCTTACTGGGCAAGTTGGTCGCAGGGGCTTTGCTGGGATGCCCTCTTGCAAAACAAAACGGGATTACTTGGCAGAGTTGCGGGTGGTGGTCGTATAGGCCTGGATGCAGGTCTGAAAGTGAGCAACCGTGTTGGCCTGTGGCTTGAAGAGGATGATGTAGCATTTCGGGAGGAAGAAGGTGCACAGGATGGCATAGACGCTGGTCTGCACGGTGAACATCTGCAGGCCGGCAATCTGCTTCCCTTTCCCTTCCGTGGTGGTGTAGATGAGCATGAAGCAGCCCCAGGCCATGAGGAAGACCAGCATGCTGACCGTCTGGAGGCGTGCTTCGCTGTAGTTCTTGGGCAGATTCCGCCCCCAAAAGGCAAACACAAAGCAGGTCGCACAAAGCAGCGTGATGTAGCCCAGCACGGACCCCAGCCCGAGGTAATGGCCCTCAGAGCACCGGAGAAAGATTTCCTTCTTGCTGACCGTATCTCCTTGCAAAGAGGGTGGGGAGAAAAACAGCCAGAGGAAGCAGACCAAGCCCTGCACCCCGCAGCTGATGGCAACGAAGAAATATGTCCCCCGGTACTTGATCCAATACTTGTGGATCATTGGGAGCTTGTGCGCCATTTTGAAGATGAAGATGATCTGAAAGGAGCGGGCCAGGAGGCAGGACACGCACAAGGTGAAGCTGATGGCGAAGATGGGCTGCCGGATCAGGCAGCTGAGTGAGGTGGGCCTCCCGACAAAAAGGCTGGTGGTGGCGCAGCACGCCATCAGGGAGCCCAGCATGACGAACGCCAGCTTGCCTCCTGCCGCTTTGACCACGGGGGTTTGCCAGTGGGTGGCGAAGACCAGCCCACAGCTGCAGAGCAGGAAGAAGTCGACGATGGTCAGGATCAGTAAGGCGGAGATGATGGTGTCCTTGACGTCGAGGAAAGTGAGGGTGGGGGGAAAGCACTCTTGGCTCTTCTTCGGCGACCAGGTGCCCGATGGGCAAGGGATGCAGGCATCCAGATCTGGAAGAGAGAGAGAAGAGGCCAATGAGATTAAAGCGGTGATCCCCAACACTGTGTTGTAAAGGCTCACCACGGTGTTTCCAGGCACCCGCTTGCCGCTTCTCCAAAACGATGAATTATAAACAATAGTTAGACTCTGATAGCAATAAACTTCATGTTGTTTTAATCTTGGTCTTTCAATAACAGGACGCCATTGGACAATGAGTGATGACGTCAGGGAGAACAGAGGACGAACTTCCCGAGCTACCGTTCGTTTCGATGTCTCTTTTTCAAACAACGGTTTCAGTTCTGCATCCGTGCATTATAGCAAAATCTAACAGTGGACTCTCTGGAGTTCAATAATTCTTCAAGAGCTCTTAACAAACAAGTATAATTCTAAGAGAGTCCACTGAAGAGCTCTTGAAGAATTATCATTGTCCGATGGCGTCCTGTTATTGAAAGACCAAGATTAAAACAACATGAAGTTTATTGCTATCAGAGTCTAACTATTGTTTATAATTATTTGTATTGTATGCACTATTGCAGCAATCTTTGTGTATTGTCTCCAAAACAATGAGCCAGGCTCGTCTTTTCCTCCAGCTCACTGGAGCAGGAGGGGCTTCAGAAGAACCAGGGAGCATCCATTTGCAAACAGAAGCCACCGTTATAGGAGGATGTTTGGCATGGAATTCCCCAGCATTTTATGACAGGCCCCAGCACTCTCTGGCAGCCATTTTATGGTTGGCTGCCTGTTGAATACTGGGTTCTCCCCTACCAGTAAAGATGCCAGCCTCCAGACTTACAGCTCATCTCCAGAAGACACAGATCAATTCCCCTGGAGAAAATGGATGCTTTGGAGGGTGGACTCTGTGGCATCATACCCCACCTAGGTCCTTGTCCTCCCCAGGCTCCATCCCTAAATCTCCAGAAATTTCTCAACCTGGGGCTGGCAACTGTAGACACACACACACACAATTCCCCTGTTGGCAGCCATGGGGACCTGGCAACCCTATGTAACAGCCATGTATTGGGGGAGTGCTCACTACCTGTTCTCAAAATCCAAACATGTCCTAAAGGCATACTGCCCACCCCATCAGTCAAGGTTTGCATCACAAGCCCTGCTTTCTGTGCCGCTGCCTTCAGAGGTAAGGCTGTGGCAACTAGAGACAGGGCTTTGCCAGTAGTGGCCCCTTACCTATGGAATTCCCTTCACCTTGAGGTTTCTTCAGCACCTACACTGGTCTGTTTTTTAGGTACCAGGCCAAAAACAACTTTTAATGTTTTATATTTTATTTTGTACACTGCCCCAGGCAGGTTCCCTCAGGGAGGAGGCATGAAAAAGTCTAAATAAATAAATAAGACTTGGAAACAAGGCAGTAGAGAGTGGGGCAGATGATTTCTTTTCATATCCTAAGGATCAAATCCAATTTGTGGGGAAGTGGCGATGCTAACTTTAAAGAAAACAATGGTTCTCATCAGTGCAAAATTCACTCTGCTTACAGTGAGATTCATACTTTTGTTTCCCAAGTGAAGCTCCCACAGCCTTGTGCAGACGCAAACGCGTAAGACGCTTCAGCGGCACAGACTTTGTTCTTACATGTTTGGTTTGGATAGGTCCCCTCCAGACAGTCTTCACAGCGACACGAGCATTCGTCCAAAGTTTGCTGGCTCCGGATCTGGCCTTCGTCACACTCCGTGATGCAAATCGACTGTGGAACCTGGAGAGGAAACGTTTGGTGAAATGGAGACACTTGCCAGGAAAATACGATGCAGGAGAGGATGTGTTGCTGGTTGATAAGAGTATGTATTGCCTTGATGTACAGCCAACTCATTTCTTAATGTGAAGCCCGTTGGCTCTGATCCAACTAGTAGTACTTGTTAAGGGGCTGTAGTATCCTGAACAACAGGACACATCAGCTTAGAGTTGCCAGCTTCCAGGCAGTGGCTGGAGATCTCCTGCTATGACAACTGATTTCCAGGTGACAGAGATCAGTTCCCCTGGAGAAAATGGCTGCTTTCAGAGGTGGACTCTATGGCACTATACCCCATCGAAGTCGCTTCCCTCCCAAAATACCGCCCTCCTCAGGCTCCATCCCCAAAATCTCCAGATCCCCAGAGCTGGCAACCCTACATCTGCTTTGCTTCAACTTAAGAATGGTTTTTATCTAGCTCTCTGGCCCGTTCTCTCTCTGGCTGGGTATGCTGCCCAGAGGCAGCTAAGTTATCAAGGCACAAGTCTACCTCAGGCTCAAATAATTTTTATTCTAGTCCACGTGCATTCAGAAGATCATTACTCATGATCCTCACTGGTGGTGACTGGGTGGGAGGTCGTATCTTTAATGATAAAGGTCCTTTGTATGACTTAGTGGTGAAAAGAGATCATTCCGTAGGTCTCCCCTAACCGCTAGTAGATTTCTAACAAAGCACTAATAAAAACTTTGGCCGGCTGCTAGCTACCGGAAAGGGAGCTTATCTAAACCAAAAGGAGAGGCGCTACAGTTTAACATCTGACTCAAGGGGTTAATGAACTACATTTCCCATCATGCATTATCTTAAAGGTGAAGGACATATTTCCTATGCTAATACGAAACGGCTTGCTAAAACTCCTGGTGTGGCTCCCGCCTGGAATTCTAGGGACTCCACCATCAACATGCTTTGCTAGTGGAGTGCTATGACCAGGGGTCATTTCGTAGAAAAAGAGGTGCAGGAGCTCATTAGCATAATGCATTAGCATATTTGCATGTGCCACACCCCAACATCACCGGAAGTGTGTCAGAAGGCAACACCCACTGCTCCACTGGACTGTTTTGGATTGCTAGCTATTGGGGGGGGGGACGTGCAGATCTGTCCTCGCAGAGGAGGGAGAGCTTGTACCTGAATAAAACTTGGTTTTAAAGGTGCCACTGGACTGTTTTGGATTGCTATGGGGGGGGGGCTCCTGCAACTTACCTGGCTGCTTCTTGCTCTGACTGAAGGCTGCTGGGAGCAGGGGGTGGGGCTTGTTGCATGTGCCCGCCCCCTGGGCTCTTTACTGCCGGAGCTCCGCTCCTGTGCGCTCCCGCAGGAAATGACCCCTGGCTATGACTAGAACTACGCGTATATGGCATGCTACACTGCTAACTAAAGCTCTAGGTAGAGACTAAGGCATGCAAAACTTGGGCTTCAGTCTTTGGGTTTGTTCTTTAGTGCAAGCAGTACCACCTTGGTGATCGGTCTGGTGAGAGTCTTTGGGCTGTCGTGTCTAATGACACAGACTTCAGTCTTGCGGACCATTCTGTCTAATTTCAGTCAGCTTCTCCATCAGCTTGCTCAGCCACTGACTACCATACAGGAGCCCTGCAGGGCCAAAACCGAAAGACATGCAAAGCAGAAACTTGCTCCTAGAGGCTGCTTATACACATTACAACAGGGACACCTCTTTTAAATAAGGTTGCCAGCTCCGAGTTGCCCTGAGATGTTCGTGTGGTTTTTACCTGGCCGTCTGGCGTTGACCATTTAATGTGGCCGCTAGCGATGTCCAGGGTTTCAGAACTAAAACTTCCAATTGTTTTGGCAATGACGGTGCCATTTGTCCAGATCCAGGTAAGCACATCATAGCCAAGGAAAAGATCTCCTTGTGAACTGAATCTGATGGTATTGTTCTGCAGAGGGAAGTTCACGTGGTACAACAATTCATAAAGCTGCAAAGAGAGAGAGAAAGAAGGACATCTGATTTGACTGCTGAAAAAACAGTGGACAAAATTCAAGGGGGGGGGACGACATTAAACTATGAAAAGGAATCCTGTAAAAAGTTGGTGTAACCTACAGGATTAATCTTGTCTTATGGAAACTGCCCAACAGTCCTTGCTAACCTCTGAACCTTTGTGTTCAAAGAAGTTGCCTAAATTGTGCCATAGGCAGTGTTCCCTCTAAGCTGAGTTAGTGTGAGCTAGCTCACAGTTTTTTAGCCCCCAGCTCACACATTTTTGTCTTAGCTCAGGAAGGATGGCTCCAGAGCCGACTAATTTATGCAGTAGCCAAACTGCTCGCTCACAACTTTAATGCCAGTAGCTCACAAAGTAGAATTTTTGCTCACAGGACTCCACAGCTTAGAGGGAACATTGTCCATAGGTGAGGAGGAATTGTTCTGTTTAACTTGAAATTAAGGACAAGTTGCTTCCACATGGATGTTTCACTCCACTTTGGTCTCCATACCGGAGCACTGTTTTTTAGCATCCACGTGATGCCATCCACTAATTCTCCACTTACCAGGTTTTATCCTGCTTTGCTCTCATACTTCCCAAATCACCATGTTGGGCGCAAAGGCACATGTTTCTAAAGGTCCCATCCACATTGGTGCATTTCCCTTCCATTACCCTCTCATGTCTGATTATTCCCCCCCCCCCCCCCCGCTGTGCCACCAGATGGCTTTTTAAGGCTTTAAAAAAATTAGTAATTGCTATTGTGCTATAAGTACAAGAACACTATAATGACAATATTGCCATGACCTACTAGTTCCTCTAAATTCCCTGCTTTCATTTTAAAAGTGCCTATATTCCTTTTTGTTGTGGAGACATAAAGGGAAAGGTGCAGACAGATTTTTTTGCCCAGATTGCCTGGAACTGACTGGGAAGAGGACTGTGCAAGATAGCTGGGGCAGGGTGGGAATTCACTGCCCAGTTGATCATGTGGATGCTCTGGCGGCTGCTGCAAACACCTCTGCATTGTACAGCTTAGCATGCTATTGATGCAACGAACATGAAATTGAGCAAACTTCAGAGGACGGCGGAAGACAGGAAGGCCTGGCATGATCTGGTCCATGGGTTCGCGGAGAGTCAGACTCGACTGTGCGACTGAACAACAACAAAATCCTTGCCCTTACCGGAATCATTGTCTTGGCCAGGGCCTATCAGGTTGCTTAGCTTCCTTCCATTGTGGGTCTCTAAGCACGGCTGTTAACTACATGGGAACTGCCTTTGAGTACTCATGGAAGCCCATATCTGCTGATGAGTAGGGTGAGGTTTGCTCTTTACTCCCAAGAGCTTCAACTCATCAATAAATCTTACAGCAGAGCTGAAAGGCAGATTTGCAAAAGATTCCAAACGCTGCCGCTGGAAATTTGAATGCCAAATGTCACCATTGCCTGCCGGCTACCACATGCCTTTGATACAAATCACAATTACACTTGACTAAAAAAATGTCAAATATTGATCTCTCATGTTACCAGGGATTCATCACGGAGATCAACTGTGGCCAGAGAAATATGCAAAATATGTTTGGCTTACAATTGCAGGCTTCGTTTAAAGCTGTTTGAGGTTTCCAAACTTACACATTAGAAAAGAGCCTTACACCTAGGGGTTCCAGCGCTGGGTTGCAAAATTCTTGGAAATTTGGGGGTGGAGCCTAGGGAAGGTGGGGTCTGGGGAGGGGAGGGACATCAGCAGGTATGATGCCATAGAGACCAGCTTCCAAAGCAGCCATTTTCTTCAGGGGAACTGATGTCTGTCGGCTGGATACCCACTGTGATTCCGGGAGATCTCCAGCCACCGCCTGGAGGTTGACAACTCACACTTTCATAGGTGACAAATTACTTCAGCTGCAAGAGGGGACTGAAAGCAGGGGAGAGTTGACCGGCCTCCCATTCAGTTCACCAGCATGGTCACGGTACACAGAGCATGAAAACTGCATTTAGATCACAAAGGAGGTCTAACATTGCCGGATGTCGTGACATCTTGTCATCTTTCCAACCCTTCTTGGTCATAACCACTTCTACACATTTTTAGAGATCATGCTAGTCAATGCATTTTTGATCTTTCATGGGGGGTGGGTTGTCTTTTTTCTCTTTTTGTACTTTGGGTCTCTGAATCCTTCCTTCCCCCCATAATTTATTCTCAGCAAGTAGAACAAAGGAAGTAGTGGAATAGCAGCTATTTGATGGAGGTAATATTAGGCAGAATATTCATTGACACTTTGTAAAGCAGAGAGCAGTCCACCCACTATATATCTCTCTTTCAAAAAAACATACATCCAGCCAGGGCTTTTTTTGTTGAAAAAGTCCAGCAGGAACCCATTAGCATAATAGGCCACACCCAGTAGCAGAAACGAATTAGCATATTAGGCCGCATTCCCATGTTACCAGAAGTGTGGTCATCCAGCCACACCCACCTTTTGCTTCTTATTCTGTTTACCTTGTTTGTGTCAGGGCTCTTTTTGTAGCAGGGACTCCTTTGCATGTTAGGCCACACACCCCTAATGTAGCCAATCCTAATGAGTTCCTGCTGTTGGGTGTGGCCTATTATGCTAATGAGTTCCTGCTGCGTGTGGCCAACTTGGGAGCCAGCCGGAACTCTGTGCCTGTGCGTTCCTGCCCAAAAATAGCCCTGCATCCAGCCATTCAAATCAAACTTTCTGCAGCAACTTCCATGTACAATCCACAGTTAGTTTAATGAAAATGCGGCCACGAGAGTAGCAGCCACAGCAATCCATGCTCAACCGAAACCTGAGTAAAGAGAAAGGTCTTAGCTTGGCACTTCCCACTGTAGAAAGGGAGTTGCACCATCGCGGTGCCAACATGGGAAAAGCCCTGTCTGTGGTAGCCCACTCCCTTGCTCATTTTATCCTGACAATATCCCTGTGAGGTAGGTAAGGACAACAGTGAGTGACTGGACCAAGATCACTTAGTGAGCTTCACAGCAGAGTGGGAGGTTTGAACCTGTCTCTGTTGGATTCTGGGGCCATACTGTAACTCCACGGTGCTCAGTTTTCTGCTCCCTTACCCCAAACCTCTTGGGCAGTCAGGGTACTGAGACAACAGAACGCACCTGCTGAGCTGAGTAGGAAAGTGCTGATGCTGCCATTGAGCTCAGCTGTTTCACACTATTACACATCTTCCCTCTGGCTCTGGCAATTCAGAAGGAGGAGGAGGAGGAGGTGGTCAGTTTTTATACCCTGTTTTTCACTACCCGAAGGAGTCTCAGAGCAGCTTACAATCGCCATCCCTTCCTCTCCCCACAACAGAAACCCTGTGAGGGAGGTAGGGCTGAGAGAGAACTGTGACTGACCCAAGGTCACCCACCCAGCTTCATGTGGAGGAGTGGGGAATCAAACCAGGTTCTCCCAGTTAGAATCTGCCACTCTTAACCACTACACCACACTGGCTCTCAGCAGTGCCTTCACCTTCTCTTTGCCCTCTTATCACATACCTGCCAAGGTTCGAAATATTCGTCTCTTTTACAGGATCCCGTTTCACACCCAAGGTGCAAGTGAAGAGCCTCTGCTACAGCGTAGATGGCAGCGTAGGTGTAGAAGGACCAGTGCCAAATAGAAGACTGTAAAATGTAAGCCAGAGATTCCTGAGATAACAAGTGACACTCTTCACACGACTGGCCACAACTCTCTGTTTCGAACAGTTTTTCAGACGCAGACAACACCAGGCTGGTTCTGTTACTCAATGTGTTGCAGCGCATGGTTCTCTCCACAAAGCGTGTGAACTGAGGTAACTTAATGGGCTTGATGGTCAGACCGATGACAGTGCCGGTTTCCTGAATGCCTGATATCGAGGCAACCATATCGGATAAGACCCATGACTCCAGTGCGATCCAAACTTTGCCAGTCACCTTCAGCTCGACGACGGTTTTAAAGAATTTGTAGGTAATGTCTTCTTCCGCAAAAACGATAGTGATGTTGGTTTTCGCTTTCACAGTGTTACTCACAATCCTCTGGAGCTGGATTTTCGTAACCTCATTGTCCCACGTCATGACCCCCTGGTAGGTAATGCAGATGTTCCTAGCGGAAGCTTCGGCAACCAGTGTCTGGATTGCTTTCTGGCTTGATTTTGTGCCACTGCCCACCGCAGAAACCCACTTCCAGTCAAAGGCTTCTATCAGCGAAAGAATCCCGTAGATCTGATGGTTCTCATTGGGCACCATGCGGAACAGGAGTGGGAAAAGATTTGTGTCAGTGAATCGCTGGTCTTTGGCACTGTAGCTAATCTGGAGGGACAGACAGGAGAGGAACACCCACCTCCCCCATATTAGTGTAGGATATTCATATTTTCAATGAAAACAGGAAGATAATGTGGATGACAGCAAGATTCACAAAAATGGAGATGACCGTTACACAAAATCATGGAGGAATCTTGCGAAATAGATCCAACGACCTATCAAGACAACAGACTGTGTGCATCGTTTAACTTCATTGCCCCTCCATGGTTCTGTTCCCCCATCTTTATTTATTAAATATTTACACCCCATCTTATCTCCATTAGACTCAAGGCAGATAACCAAGTAACAAGTTGCAAGAACACAAAACCAAAGAGTCCATCAACAAAACAAAGCAAAAATGTGTAGATTTTTTAATTGCAGCCAAATCGGCCTGAACAGTTTGTGTGTGTGGACTGCATAGTGACCCTGGACTTCCTTGGTGGTCTCCCATCCAAATGCTAACAGGGTTGATCCTGCTTCGTTTCTGAGATCTAGCGAGATCAGGCTAGCCTGGGCCGTCCAGGTCAGCCCAAACAGTTTTCTCACCACCAAATGCCTTCTGAAACGGAACTGCCTTGCATGCCTTCCTAAATGCAGCCAATGAAGGTGCCCACTGCATCATTCTGATTGGCCATTCCAGAAGACTGAACCTAGAACAGAAAAAGCTCATGACCTAGCTAGAGAGGGCACTGCCTGGAGAAGACTGTCTGGGGAATGTAGCTGGTGCGTGAGAACATCCCTGACCTTTCCCACCTCTTGATGTCATATGAACTACGATGCCGTCCAAGATCCAGTTTGATAGGGACACTGTGGTCCTTGCAGCTGCCCTAGACTCCCTTGCTCTGAGATAACCATTAAAAGGATCAGGTAACAGGTGATGAGACTTCTGCCTGAGACCCTGGGGAGCGGCTGCCAGAGCAGACAATATTGACCTGAATAAACCAATGTTCTGGCTCAGTATAAGGTCAGGTTCATGTCCATGGAGAGCTAGGCAGCCTAGACTCTGGAAGCTGAGCCCAGGATACCAAGTTCCCTGGGCAGCTTTCTGTAAGTTATACAAACAATTATACAAATTAGGAGAACCACAGCAACTGGAAGTTAACCAATAACAAAAGGCAGGGGTCATTTCCTGCAGGAGCGCACAGGAGCAGAGCTCCGGCAGTAAAGAGCCCAGGGGGTGGGCACATACAACAAGCCCCACCCCCTGCTCCCAGCAGCCCTCAGTCAGAGCAAGAAGAGGCCAGGTAAGTTACAGAGGGTAAAGACCAAGTTTTATTCAGGTACAAGCTCTCCCTCCTCTGCGAGGACAGATCTGCACGTTCCCCCCACCCCCCAATAGCTAGCACTCCAAAACAGTCCAGTGGAGCCTGAGCGGTGGGTGTTGCCTTCTGACACACTTCCAGTGATGTCAGGGTGTGTGGCATATGCAAATAAGTTATGCTAATTAGTTGTGCTAATGAGCTCCTGCACCTCTTTTTCTAGAAATGACCCCTGACAAAAGGACTGTGATTTTGACGCTACTAACAAGTCTTTACAGTTCCATAACTAATGATAAAAGACTTCTATTTGAATATATTTCTCATAGATCAATTTCTCATAGATACCACTACAACAACGTACATAATTATTAATAGGAAAGAGCCCAGCAATCATTGATGCACTGGACACAACGGTTCATAGTCAAGTGTACAACGTAACTCACAAAAGCATAACTTAAAGCAATAGTCCAAAATATGAAGTAGTAAAGACAAAAATTGTTCTTGAATCATAGGAAGTGCACTCGGAGATCCCCTCATGTACAGCAGGGGATCTTCTTTATTCCATCAACTCTTAACCAACAAGAGCATTATTGGAACAGTTGTCAAGTACCTTTCTAGATTGGCACCTCGGTCTTTACACGTGTTAAATATCTCCATAGAGGTGGGACTTGTTCTGATTAATGGAAGAAATTTGTCTGATGAAGACTATGAACGAAACGATGGCATGATCTGGAAGCCACGTCATAAAGTAGACGGAATACGGAAGATCCCCTACTGTACACGAGGAGGATCTCCTAGTGCACTTCCTAGGATTCAAGAACTTGTTAGTAGTGTCTAAATCACAGTCATTTTGTTATTGGTTAACCTTTTGATCAATGGCACTGTGTTATGTGGTTTTTAAATGGCACCTTTGCAGTGTCAGTCACTGGTTATTGACCCTATTGCTGTAAATAGACAGGCAAAGTTTGCTGCTTAGGCACGTGATAAGGGTCAATTTTTCAAAACGTTTCCAATTTGAGCCTCAAGGTCTTTGCCCTGTTCATTATGAGGGCATAATGGTGGGAAAGGAGAGGCAGAAGGTTACTTCGCCTTTGAAGCAGTGAGAGATGTCAATCCTGAGGTGATCTGTATGATTCCTGTTTTATTTCCACTAGAACATTACATTGTTATTCAAATGCTCAGGTCTAAACGCTAGCCTGAACCAAGAATATTATATATGTAACAATGGGGTTTTCCCCATTTTAATTACTTGTTCTGATGCTGACTATTTAGATTTTCTTTAGGTTTGTTGTAACATGCTTGTTTATTTTATTTATTTATTATAATTTTTTTGGTCGCCACTCAACCAGGGGGTCTCAGGGTGATTTACAACACTTAAAACAACACCATGAGTTAACAAAATCAAACAATGCATATAAAATATTAAAAGGAACCAACTGTAAATTAAATGTTTCCCAGAGGTTTCTTGCATACCTTTTAGCACAGATCGTAAGAACAGTTATAACAGTTATACTGTTAGTTCCTCTCAGAACACAGAACAACTAGAACCAATTCAGAACCAACCCAAAGGCTCCAATGTGGAACAGTACCACCCACTGTTCCGGAGTTAAGAACATAAAAACATAAGAGATGCCAATGTTGGATCAGGCCAAAGGCCCATCCAGTCCAACACTCTGTATCACACAGTGGCCAGAAATACCGGTGCCATCAGGAGGTCCACCAGTGGGGCCAGGACATTAGAAGCCCTCCCACTGTTGACTCCCCCAAGCACCAAGTTGTTATATAACTATTACATTATCCCAAGAGCATACCCAGACTGGGGCAACTACGTGGGTAACTATATATCAAACAGCACAGTTAGATCAGTCACTCTTTCTGTCCACACAAGGACTGCCCTATCAAACTTTGGAAGCTCATGTGCATTTTTAGAGAAAGCAACACAAAGAAAAACAGAAGCCCACGGTCACTGTGGCAGCTCACCTGTGGAAGACGGTAAAACGTGAGGACCCGGGAGGTCAGGAGTGTCATGTCGGCCTCGTCAGGTCCCACGACAGCAACCATTTTGTTAGAAGAACCTTTTTGGAAGCTGTGCAGCCGGTCCGGTGCCAGCTGCAGAGCGGCCTGCAGGTAAATACTCTCACTGCAGGTATCCCATATGTGGTACCCCAAGGTGACATTGGGGAGCATGTGGGAGGAATTGTTGATTTCTTCCACTGCCAGCCGCATGGCTTGAAACTGGCTATAGCCCCATGAATTTAACCTGTGGGAAATGCATAAGGAGCAACATTCAGGCACAGGAAATGGAATATAAAAGACTGAAAACATGCATTGGTTACATGCTCAAGCAGAGTTCGTTCCAGTCTAAGCACACTGATTTCTGCATAGGACTGCAGTATGAGTGTGTAGAAACAAGCGAGGCAGCTCCTGAGGAATAATCCTCATACGGGGTCTGAAGCAGGAGGTGGAAGCTGCCTCCCTCTCCCCCCCCCTTCAGTGCCCCCACCCTTGCAAATGGGTATATACCCGTTCCATGTGCCTTACGGCCCCTACCCTATGGAATGGCCTGACTGAGGAAGTCAGGAAGGCTCCCGCTCTCCAGGCTTTCTGCAAACCGTGCAGAAGTGAATGATTCAAGAGGGCTTTTCTGCACAGGCAATGGCGTTGTACTGTACAAAAAGGTTCACTTGGATAAATGATTAGGGTCTGTGGTCTATACTGCCACGAACAGCTTGCTGTAACTAGGATCCTGTTCTGTCATTTTGCATCGCTTAAGGTGTCATGCTGATACTTAGGCTTTGCTCCAGTTCTGTTTCTAGATTTCTGGTTGGCTGCAGTTTTCTACCATCCAGACCCTATTGCACTGCTTACTGGATGTCCCATCCTGTCGATTGTGTAATCTACCTTGAATCCTTGTGAGACTGTAAATAGCGTAAAGAAATAAACCCCAAAGCACTCGGGGCCTGTTCCAGGTTTGGGGGAGGGGGCTGGGCAGACAGCGCCCAGGGGCCCCCATCCGCCCACCACCAGGATCCCTCATGCCTTCCTTTCTGTGCCTATATCTGCACCCCCCCATTTACCCATGCATCCTTCTCCTACATGCAAGCCCTCCCATGCTCAGTTGCCTGCCTTCATCATCTGCACAACCTTTCCCTGACAACACTGGGAAGAAGGAGGAGGAGGTTGGATTTATACCCCGCCCTTCACTTGGAGTCTCAGAAGGGCTTACAGACTCCTTTCCCTTCCCCTCCCCACAACAGACATTCCTTTGGCAAACTGTATTGTTAGTTCTCCTTTGATGTTACTGCTGTGCTAATAAAGGTTGTGATGATGATGATGATGATGATGATGATGATGATGATGATGAAGAAGAAGAACAGACACCATATGAGGTAGGTGGGGCTGAGAGAGCTCTTTTGAGAACTGCCCATGAGAGAACTGCTCTGAAAGAACTTGTGAGTGACCCAAGGTCACACCAGCAGCTGCATGTGGATGAATGGGGAATCAAACCCAGTTCTCCCAGATTAGAGTCTGCACTCTTAACCACTACACCAGACAGACTCTCCAGCTGGAAGTCCTGCTGCCGCTGCTACCAAGAGTGACACCACTGTGCACCACCCACATGCCCTTCCTCAGTGATGCTGGGCAGCTGGGAGCATGGGTGCAGAGGGATGGCAGGAAAAACTGGGGTCAGTGGCAGTGGGTCCCACTTAGAAACCCCCTTAGAAACCCCACCTGAGGGTATGTTGACACCAGCCCTGAAAGCAGCTCACCCTGGAATACGAGGGTTCACTCACCCTGCACACGAGGGCAATTCCGGTCCCCGGGCTCCGCTTCTCCGTGTGCTGTCGTAATGGACTGGAAACAGACCGCCAATAATAAAGTCCCCGGCTAGGCTGAAAAGAGACTCACAAGGGTCATAGGCACCACCGTGATCCACAAGAAGGACAGCCACCAAAAGCCACACGGGCATGATTGGCTGGGTCCAAAGACAAGCAGTGCTGTTGCAGGGAGATGGTCTCACTGTTCCTGCAGCGGAACAGGAGGCAGAATACTCACTGGACACCGTGCCAGTCCGTCTTAACCTCAGTCAGTTTGCCGTCCCTCTGAGAGCTGCTGAGGGTCAGCTCTGTACCTTATGGAGGAAGCCGATTTGGTTGGATGGGGGGGGGAGGGGAAGAGCTCGTGTTTTCCATGCATCTGCGCCTGCTTTGCTTAATAGAGTCAGCCAGTTGGATGAGGAACCAGCTCAGACAACCAAAGGAAGCAGATTCGGAGGGAGGCAGGAAAACGAGCTCTGGTTTGTCTAGAAACCTAATCATACACACAGGGGCTCTTTGATTACCATAGCAATTTCTCCCTTATGGAAACTTTTGTTTCAGATCCATGATGCAGTCGAAAATTTTATGACCCACTACCAATGGTCAAAGACTTCATATGGCCATATAATTGACGGGATTTCTGTGCCTTTCACAGTTCTGGTTCTCCCCATCACTGGCACATGGGGGAGAGGGAGTGGTTGCAGCCCTACTACATGACTGACCTTCTTCCCACAGAAAAAACACACAAAAACACACAGTTATTTCATGCATTCAAAAAAATGGCCAGAGATTTTTGTGTATCTAACATTAAAAGGGCTTGCATTCCAAAAGCTTTTGGGTTTGTGTGTGTGTGTGTGTGTTTTTAACCACTGAATGTGCAAAATTGAAGGGGGAGTTTTAATTTGTACCCTTAGGGCAAATTTTGGTGAATCTGCTCTGACAGATGTAACTTTTCCAACCCATTGTCTGCTTTTGAAGTGGCATACCGGATACCTTGAGCAGAAATTGGAAAGTCTGGATAACCGTTTTTCAAAAGAAATGCACCCCCAAAAAATAAATATTTACAAATCTATACAGGTGGAGAGCAAAGTGGCCATTCTAATGTTCACGGTTCGTGCTTTTCATAGTCCCTGGCAGTTGTGCCAGGTTTGGGGCAGCCATTTCCACAATCCTGTTTGCAAAACAGCGCCCGTTCCGTTGGCAGTGGCCTCTGTTACTGTACGGTTTACTGACTGCAATTGTGCAGGTGCAACGGATCATGCTCTCTGAGATCGCTGTGGCAGTTGATACTGCCTGGAGCACTCGAGGTTCCCTTTCCCACCCCTAACTGTGGGGTGATCCTGTTGGAAGCTTCCCCTCTGCAAGTGAAGACAGCAGGTCAACATACTTGATGGAGGCAACAGTGTGGTGTCAAATTCATTTGTGGCACGAATCACTTCCACCACATCAAGATCATAGCATGGTATATTTGGGCTGTGAAGCTTTGGATTTCCTGTGTGTAGAACAGATGCCCTGTTACACCTGTGAAACACACAGGTACTGCAAACCAGGGTTATTTTTGGGCAGGAACGCACAGGAACGGAGTTCCGGCTGGCTCCCAAGTTGGCCACACCCAGCAGGAACTCATTAGCATAATAGGCCACACCCAACAGCAGAAACTCATTAGGATTGGCTACATTAGGGGTATGTGGCCTAACATGCAAAGGAGTTCCTGCTACAAAA